GCACTTATTCCATTTTAGGATTTTTCTGGTCAAGGTTTACTCTCTTACTCTCACTGAGGACATGACACTGATTTTAAATTTTGTGTTGTCTAGGTGAATTGTGAGTTATTAGAAGAATATCCGGCATATTAGGCTTTGGTAGGTTGTAATCTATTCACCTGGTAAGCCCTGGTGGTATAGCGGTGGGCTACCATCCCCATGGTCAGCAGTTCGAAACCATCAGCTCCGTGGGAAAAAAACTGGGCTTTCTACTCCCATAAACCGTTACAGTCTTGGAAACCCATGGAGGGTCCCTATGAGTCAGCATTGAGTTGATGGCAGTAAGTTTGATGTTTTGGGCCTTCTTCAATTGTTGCCACCGCCACCACCAAAATAACACGTGGATGAGTGAACGACAGAGAGGGGACGGCCCCTGAAAGGCAAGAGTCTGTCCACGCACAGTGTGAGGTGCACATGCTGCCCCTGCCTGCGATGATGGTGAAAGGAGGGTGCACAGAGAAACAGGGAGAAGCTATGACCAAGATACCATCAGGGCTCAGGGATGAAGCCATGTGGTGGAAGGGGGTGTCTTAAAAATTAGAGGAGTGATGGTTCTGGGGGGCGGGAATTGGAAGGCAGGAGGTGGGAGAAAGGGAGGAGGGAGCCAACAAACCCAGGGGCAAGGGAACAAGAGATCTAAAATCGATGGTGAGGAGGGCAGAGAATGCCTGATGGGGTGTGTGATCAAGTGCAATGAACCCGAGAGAAAGTACTGAGAGTCAAGTGAAGGTCAAATACGATAGTGGGACGGGAGGAAAATAAAAAGAAATAGAGGGAAAAACTGGGAGGCAAAAGACATTCATAGCGGCATAAATTTAGACATGCACATACATAAATATATTACTATAGAACAATAGGGATATAGCTCTATGTACATATATTTAAATGTTAATTATTAAGGTATGAGACAGGCATTGGGTCTTTACTCAAGTTCTCCCTCAATGCAAGAACACTTTGTTCTAATAACTCGGCATTCTGTGATGCTCACCTTCCCGCCATGGTTGCTGAAGTCAAAATGTGTGCATATGCAAATGTGGCGTGTGGCATAAGCTGATGGTGTCTGGCTATTAAAAGATATAGTGTCTGGGGTCTTAAAGGCTTGAAGCTAAATAAGCAGCCATCTAGCAGGGAAGCAACAAAGCCCACATGAAAGAAGCATGCCAGCCTGAGTGATCAGGAGGTGTCGAAGGGATCAGGTATTAGGCATCAGAAGACCCCAAACAAACAAATATATCGATGCTAATGATGGGGGTCAGAGTGGAGACACAAAGCCCCTCTGTAGATAATTGAACATCCCCTCACAGAAGGGTCACAAGGAAAGAACATGACAGCCAGGGTGCAGCACAGCACTGATAGAACACACAACGGTGGTGGTTAGACATGAAGTGCGTTGGCTGAAAATTGAAGCTGGCTCTCCTACAGGACAGCAGAAGATGCACCCCTGAACCATCAATGTCCCCCTTTAAGAGTAGCTACTAGAAAATTGGAGATACAGTGACCAGTATGTTTGTGACCAGTATATTTCTATTGGCCATTATTATTACTTCCTTAAAGCGTTAGAGCCCGGGGAGTGGCTGGGCCTGGGGAGGAGCTATATAAAACTAAAGGGGAGAAAGCAGAGAAGGCTACTCCCAGTCAATGGAAAGTCCCTGGGATAGGGCTAAGGAGGTCACGGTGATTGGCTGGGAGACTCCGGGAGGCCACACCTGTCTCCTCTTCCCAGTCCCAGTATCAATTTGGGGAAACCAGGAAGCTGGTTCTGAGAACACACTAAAGAAGGCTGCCTTCAGGAGGACAGAGATCCTTCTCTTTTGTTCCCCGAGAGAGATCCTTGAAGATAGAATTGCCTTGGCAGAGGGTGGGTGCTTGCTGAATGAACTAATGCAAATAGGAAGCAGAATGGAACATGACAGTGGTCTTTTCCTTTTCAGGAGGTGCTGGACTCATCACAGTATTTGAACTTGGAGAGCCCTGGCGATGGCAGACTACCTCGGACTAGGAAACCGGGACTCAGATGGGAGAGTGACTTGGCCAGGGTCACGCTCCGGTGTTGATAGCTGAACTGGCATGACCTTCAAGTTCTGCACTCTCTGCCTGGGGCTCAAAGAACCACCCAGAAAGAAAAGCTGGAACAAATTAGATGCCACTTTGCAGAATGTCTGCTACATGCAGCCTGGCCATGGTTCCCCTCCTCCTCCACCCTTTCCTCCTGTGCCTGCTCACCTGCTCTGCT